CCTGCTGGGCTCTGGCAATCCTTCCGCCTCAGCCTTCCAAGTAGCTGGAACTACAGGTGTGCGCTACCAAACCCGGCTGATTTTTGATTTACTGTAGAGATGAGGTCTTGCCAAGTTGCCCAGGCGGGTCTCGAACCCGCAGGCTCAGGCAATCCACTCACCTCAGCCTCCCAAAGTGCTGGGATTACAGGCTGAGCCACCGAGCCCGGATCAGCTGCAACAAAGTGTCCCAAGACATTGTCCAATGTCCTGGGAGAGGGTGGCAAAATCACCCCTGTTGAGAGGGTGGGTTAGAACAAAAGCAGAACCAAGATGGAAATCGCCAAGATCCTGGAACCAGCTGCCCAGAACTCAGGGCCGCCTCCTTCCCCCAGAGAGTGGGGGTCTCCGGCCTCAGTGAAGAGGCAGTGGCAGGGCTTGGAGTCCCAGAGGCAGCAGCCTATGGGGGAGGGAGCTTATAGCAGTGGCCTTTTCCTGGTCACAGGGACATAAGGTCCCTGGAGACTCAGGCAAACCCTAGAACCTTCTCATTCCCTTGAGGAGCTATGGCCAGACTATAGAACCTCCAGAACAATCCTGGCTCTCTGAGATCAGCTTTGAAGATCCCCTCCTTTCTGTCGCCCTCCCTGGAGAAGGCCCGCCCCTCACGCTGGCAGTACCTCCCTCACGGTCACCAACAGCCCTTCTGAAGAATTCTGAGCACTGGCCTATGGATGGGTCTGGGCGGGGCACAGAGAGGGATCTCTGGCCACCTCGCCTGCCATTACTGTCTGCTGTTTGTCTTTGGGGTCAGCTGTGATGGGCAACTCCGTGGCCTCAGTCTGTCCCTGTCTCCCACCACTCTGTCCTTGGTCTGAACCTCAGTTTGGAAAGCTCAGGCTGGGCCACAGAGGTTTTCCTGGGAGCCACCAGGAAAAATGGCCTGGATTCAGAGAATGCCGCCACCTGGCAGAGGCTCCACCCACCCGGGATGCCCTTCCCCTCCACCTGCCGGCTCTTCCTGCTCTGGGCTTGTGACTCTGTAGCAGCCCAGGCTGGGGTTTCTCATCCTGGCCTGGGGTCCCTGGTCCTGGGCTGGGGTCCCTCATCCTGGGCTGGGGTCCCTTATTCCAGGTTGGGGTCCCTGGTCCCGGGCTGGGGTCCCTTGTTCCAGGTTGGGGTCCCTGGTCCCGGGCTGGGGTCCCTTGTTCCAGGTTGGGGTCCCTGGTCCCGGGCTGGGGTCCTTTGTTCCAGGCTGGGGTCCCTGGTCCCGGGCTGGGGTCCATCGCCCCCAGATATTGCCCTTCACGGTGATCCCACCCCGCCCTGGGCTCTGAAAGTCCCAAGCCCCTTCTCAGCCTGGAGGAAAGCCCAGGGCAGGACACAGCGCCCGTGACACTCCAGAACGACCTCGCAGTGTGGGGCGGAGAAGGCGGCCGTCCCGTCTTACCCGGAAGCGGACCTTCCCATGGGCACTCATCTGCAGGTAGAGGCGGTGGGGGCCGTTCCAGTTGCCGTACACGATGTCCACTTTGCCGTCGCGGTTGAAGTCGGCCAGGGCGACTCCTCGCCCGTGCTGGTGGGGGTCGTCCACACCTGGGGAGGGGAGGCGGGACCCCTCAGGGCGGTGACCCCCTGCAAGCGCCGCCAACACCTTGCTCCCATCATCATGGCCCCGCCCTCCTGGGAGCAGCTGGTGACCCTCATCTTGTCCCTCCCACTGCAGTCTCGGAAGGTCTTCACAGGAGTGGGAGGTAGGACGGCTGTCTGGTGGCAAAGGGACCAGAGACATGTCTCCAGGCGTGCGTTTGCCCAGCATACATGTTACTTTTACCCTGTCTGGGGTGGCATGGGTGGGGGAGGGGAATGGGAGATTCTGGAAGACCACAGCCTTCCCGGCTGCCCCTGGGAGACTCCAAGTTGGTCGTGCCACTCTGGCATCCATCTCTCAGCCCCCCTGGGTCAAGTTCAAATGCCTGGCCACGGCCCTGTCCCCCTCACCTGGTCTTGGTCTGGCACTGCTCTCTCTCTCCCTGGCTGAGCCCTAGCCGCCCCACCCCACCCCGCCGTGTTCCTTCCCAGGCCTTTGCTCAAACTGGTCTGTCCACCCAGGACACTCTCCCCGGGCTCTAGGTCACCCAGCTCCTTGTTATTCTGCTGTCAGCCTCAATTTCACCTCTTCAGGAAAGCCCTCCCTGACCACCCATCTGAGACGGTCCTCCTGCCCACTCTGTCCCTCTCCCTGATGGCCCCCTGTTCTTTTCCTCCGTCGCGCAGATTGCAAAGTGCAGTTCCTGTTCTTTTGCAGTTCACATGTTAGAGTCCAGTTTTTCCACCAGCATTCCCTAGTAGGGACCGCCTTCTTGGTTCACCCGTGTGCATGCGGTGTCTGTCTCATAGCCTGCGGGTGCCTGGTCGGTTCAGTAAATGCTTACCAAATGTAGAGACATAAATAACATGAGAGAAGGCTAACAGGGGGCGCGGGTGACAGCTGAGGAAGTGCTGTGGCCATGACAGAGACACCCACATGTCCTGGGTGTGGTCTGGGCAGGGAAGTCTCGTGTCTGGTGCCACTGTTACGCCCGCCCTGAACTGGTCCTGGGGGGAGGGATGGTGGCTTTGCTCGGAGCGGTGACCTGACCTCCTGACGGCCACGGCAGGCATGCTCCCCGGGCCAGCGCAGAGCTGGAAGATGGCACTGATGTGACTCTAGGCACCAGGGACAAGTAGTGTGGTGGCCACCACGCCTTCTGGGGTGGCCGGCAATCACAGCAAAATGGGGGTGGGGATCGGAGACCCTGGGGGTACAGGGAGCTCCTGCCGGCTGCAAACACAGAGGTCCTGAGGAAGGGAGGCAGGAGAGAGCCTTGGAGGCCGAGCGTCCTCTGGGGAGGCTGGGAGAGGTGGTGAGGGCAGAGGGGTGGCGAGACCCGGGCTTGAGAAAGAGAGGGTGCCAGGGCTGGGGCAGCCTCAGTCCCTAGGAAGAATGCCCCATTAATTCTCTGCCAACTCCCCGACCGGTGCTGGTGGCCTCTGCGCGGGCCCATTTCTCTCCGGTCTATGAGGCACCTTGACAAGGCGTCGGTTCCCTTTCACGGGGTGCTCGGAGCCAGGCTGCATTTCATAGCGGCATCTGTTTGGGTGATGAATGCCCTCTTGACACGTCTTGTTAAACCCCTGCAATCATTCTGACTTTCAATTACGGGCCTAGCACCTTCCTCCCCTCGGCCTGATACCTTCTCCCTCTCCGCCTCGCGCTCACCTCTGCTTCCGTCTCTTTAGCACCGTATCAAGCCCTCTAGGCCTTCCCCACCAACCTCCCCTTCGCTTTGTGATTCTTCGGCAACAAGAGCATCGGCTGCCAGAGTCCAGCACTGAGAGGGGTGGGCGGG